TGAATCATTTGAATTATTTAAATTATTTAAATTATTTAAATAATTTAAATAATTCAAATAATTAAAATAATTCAAATAATTTAAACCATCCAGCGCGATTTGAATTATTTAAACTATTTAAATTATTTAAATTATTTAAATTATTTAAATATGCTGGCAGGCGGCTCGGCTGACAGACACGCCTACGCTATTTAAATTATTTAAACTATTTCCGCCGATGCGATATTCAAATAATTATAATTATTCAGATCCTGAGGGTCTGTCAGCCTGCTGAGCCGCGTCCCAGCATATTTGAATAATTTAAATAATTCAAATAATTTAAATAATTTAAATAATTTAAACCATCCAGCGCGATTTGAATTATTTAAATTATTTAAATCATTTAAATTATTTAAATTATTTAAATATGCTGGCAGGCGGCTCGGCTGACAGACACGTCTACGCTATTTAAATTATTTAAATTATTTCCGCTGGTGCGACGTTCAGATAATTTAAATATTTCAAATCGTGATGGTCGGTCAGCTTGCTGGGCCGCGTCCCAGCATATTTAAATAATTCAAATATTTCAAATAATTTAAATAATTTAAATAGTTCAAATTATCTCGCGCGATTTAAATAGTATATTATTTAAATTATTTAAATTATTTAAATTATTTACATTATTTAAATTATTTAAATATGCTGCAGGCGACTCGGCTGACAGACACGCCTATTGTATTTAAATTATTTAAATTATTTTCGACGAGGCGATATTCAAATAATTGAATTAATTCAAATCGTGGTGGTCAGTCAGCTTGCTGGGCCGCCTCCCAGCATATTTAAATAATTTAAATAATTCAACTAATTTAAATAATTTAAATAATTTAAATCATCACGCGCGATTTAAATTATTTAAATTATTTAAATTATTTAAATTATTTAAATATGCTGGCAGGTGGCTCGGCTGACAGACACGCCTACGCTATTCAAATTATTCAAATTATTTGCTGAAGCAGAGTCCAAGGGACGCATAGAGCCTATTTCTCCCTCAATCATATATATATATATATATATATATATATTCATATATATATATGTATATATATATCGTCGAAAATCCCCCCCGTAGGGGGACATGCCCAACATAAATATGATCGCCTCACCAATCCTTGCCGGCCCCGTCCAAGACCGGTGAGCTCTGGTCACTGGACCTCCCTCCCGGGGAAGTCGGTTCTCTTCGTACTGCAATGTACTTACGATCCTGCCCCATCGACCATCCGAAATATGAACTCATACCATGCCAGCAAGACGGTTTCGATCCCCCCGCTATTCTTTTGCAACAAATGCTAGGCGCGCGCATTCGCTTATCAAAAGCATAGGTGTTCAAGAATATCTTACAACAAAGGGGACGAAATGCACACGCGCGCGTCGTCACGCGCATGCCGAAATCCTTCCACAACCGTCGGTGTCGTAAGGATCTCAAAACTGAATGCCCAAACAACAGCATGGGTTTCGCAACATGGGTTGTCAAAAACAACTTGCGCGCTCTTGCGAATCCTTTTGGGAACCATAATTTTCAACATTGACAAAAAAATGTTACCAAATTGGGTTTCGCGCGGTCGCGTGTCGAAATCGTTCGAACGCCCTTGCGTGCGTGCCGTCGCCAGAGTCCTTGGCAACAAACGGGACGAAGTGCACGCGCTTGCGTCGTCGCGCGCGCATGCCGAGATTCGTCAAAAACTGCGGTTGCGTAGCGATGTCAAAACCCAGCACCCAAAACACATACAAAAAACGTGGTTTCGCAACATCAATGTTCAAAACAGTGTGCCCTCGCGCTCTTGCGACTTATTGACGACAGCATACGTTTCTCAATGGTGTCATGGAACTGTGGCAAACAGGCCTCTCGCGCCGCATGCCAAAATCATTCGCACGCCTTTGCGCCGTGCTCGGGGAGCACGGTCCATGTCAAATAAAACCATGCGGGCCACTCTCGCGTGTCGGCCGCGCGCGCATGCCGGAATCTTTCCAAAACCTTCATCACCGACGCGGGGACGCCGTCATCGTCGTCGGCGTGATCAACATCGGCGCCCGCACTGGCCGCGCCGTCGTCGTTGCCAACATCGTCACCAGCATCGCTACTAGTACCATCGTGTCTACCGTCGTCGGCGTTGCCATGATACCGCGCCCGCCCACGCCGCCGACTCGCAAAGAAGTGCCTGCTGGGATGTACGCGCCCAGCGGTCAGCGCCACCGCGGCCGCGTCGGTCGCGCCAAACTAGCTGGCCGCTGCGCGCGCATGCTTGGGTTGGCGCGGCCGCAGAGATGGACCAGCCAACGCCAAGCACCCATCGCAATCGCCACCGCATGCGTTTTGCAAACTAAGTTGCGGGCGGGTGGGTGCGATGATTGCGCGAGCAGCAGGGTGGACAACTCACTGCGAACAGAAATGAATTGCAACACATGTGCTGCACCACTTATGTTGCCCCACATCGATTGCACAGCATATGGTGCTAGGAACACGCTGTCTGGGGTCCACGCTGGCGAACACTGTTTAGCATGTTCTCCGCCCACACGCCAAACGGCGCATGGCTTCTCGACTCCACTCCCGGCGCACGTGCCGAAGGAAAGGGCGCGGCGGAGGGGCCGAAACCAGCTGCATGCAGCAGAGCTCGCACCCCCCCACACGTTCTCTTTCCCCCCCGCCAGGCCATCGCTCGGACGTCCAGTCCCCGTGCATGGCTCGTTTTCGTGCGTGCTTCTCTCTGCTCGGTGATCCTAGATGCCCCTCGATGGTCCTCGCCGAGAAAAAACGCACACGCCCGAGCGATGCCGAGCCTCTCGTACGACCCGACTCCGCGGAGCGTGCTCGAAGGCTTTCTCAACCCTCCTCGGAGGCCTGGGGCCTTCCCGCGGCGCTCTCGGCGGCCTTCTCCCGCCTCCTCCCGTTCCCCTCACCCCCCCCCTCCGTTTCGCTTCGCTTCGACTCGTTTCGTCTCGTCTCGTCTCGTCTCGTCCCGTCCCGTCCCGTCTCGTCGTCGTCGTCGTCGCCCTCGTCGTCGTCGTCGTCCTCGTCGTCATCGGACCGTCGTCGTCGTCCCCGTCGTCGTCCTCGTCCTCGTCGCCCTCGCCCCGCTTCGGGCGTGCCCCCCCCCCCGCGTCCTGCAAGGGGGCACGCCCCCCGCGCGCGCCCCCACGCGCCAGCCGCAGCCTGCGGCCGCCTGCCCACGTCTCGGAAAGGTGGCGACACCCGACCCCTCCCTCTGCCAACCGTCGAGCCTCTCCTGACTCGCTTGGAGGCGGGGGCGGGGCTCGGATGTCGCCCAGTGTGAGCGAGCAACGACGTGTGTACATGTACGCCCTCCGCGGTCTTGCGCGCACGAAGCTCCGCGTTCAAGCGCACTTCGGCGGAAACAAACCGCGTACACGTACATCTGTTGTTGCCCTCTGACAATGCCCGACGAACCCCGTGCCCTGCCCCCGCCGCCGATCGGTTTGCCCGAATCGTGGGTCGGCGAGGGCGCTCGGCGCGGCGAGCCCGCGGGGGAACCGAGGAGGGGCGGGCCTTCTTCGCAGGCTCGGGAGTCCCCCTGCCTGCTGAGAAGCGTTCTGAGCCTCCACCGATGCAGAGGGCAGAACAAATCCACCCCGAGTAGTAACCAACCCGACACGCGAAGCCGTTTAGTAAACGCACCCGAAGAAGGAATCAAACAGGGCAAGACTGTTTAATGCACGCCCAGGGCCGGTTAGTAGACGCCAGTTGTCCGGTCCGGGCGGTTTTCCCTCCTTTGAGGAAGTCCCCCTGCCTTCCGAGAAGCTTTCTGAGCCTCCACCGATGCGACGCCCCGCCGCCTTCTGAGAGGGCCTTCGCCCTCCCAACTTCCCCCCCTCGCACGCCGTCGATGAATCGCTGATCGGCGAGGGCATACAGTCAACCCGTATAGCAAGGATGCGCGATAAGGATGCAAGGGCCTTGGACGCCTATTTCGAAGCTTCTCGAGCGGGCCGCGGCCAACGAAAGCGGCCAAGGATGGGCCGAGAAGGCAAGGATGCAAGGGTACCCTTGGGAGGGTTGCCCATCCTTACTATGCGGGTTGACTGTAGGGTCAGATCGGGCACGTCCTCCTACAGGCGCATTTGGGGCGAAAAAAAACAAAGAGTAGCCAGAAGATGCTCAAAACTGGCCGAGCAGAATCGAACCATCGCCCCCAGACTATGTTATTTTATTATTGAGTGCCTCCCCCGAGGAGGGGCAGGCCCGACTTGAGCGTAGATAGGGAACCGAGCTCTATACACCGACGCATTGACTGGCCCTGCACTGAAACTCGCACACGAAAGCAGATCCTGGTGTATACGGGATGCTGATGTATGCAATGTTCGTCATCTCCCCAGGAAGACTGGGAAACAAAAATATACACCACACCACCCCGACGGCGTCCGCGACCCTCAGAAAGTCCAGGGATTGAAAAACAGCGCGCCAATGGTAATGTATACTCAACGGGCGAAGAACGGTATAACACAAACTTTTCCGCTGTCGGGGGCGCCTGTCCCAGGGCGGCGGGAAAGTTTGTACCCCTGCGGTGGCACCGCAGGGGTACAAACTTTCCAGCCGCCCAGGGACAGGCGCCCCCGACAGCGAAAAAGTGTATGTTATACCGTTCCTCTCGGCAGCGGCCAAGAGGGGGGGGTCCAAGAGGGGGGGGGTGCAAATCATGACCGGCGGCATGTGCGCGGCCCAGCGGGACGGCCAGGGACGTAATGAAACAAGAAGAGGCGCCACGAAATCTGGGGAAATATCATGGCCCCCGCCATGATATCCACCCCCCCATTGTCATCACCCCCCTCTTTTCCGCCCCCGATCTTCGCTCGCTGATATATGTTCCACCTTCCGAGTCTTCGCTCGCTGATATATGTTCCAGCTTCCGAATATAGGGCCCGGGCCTTCCGCCGCCGGCGGGGGCCGCCACGCGAGGGGGCCGCCGCGCGGAGGGGGCCGAGGGCCTGCCGGGGGCGGGCGCCCGGGCCTCCAGCTGCGGGATCTGGGCCGCGCGGCCGGTGCCCACGTCCCTGGAAGGCAGCGGGGGGGGGGGGGAGGAGGAGGAGGAGGAGGAGGAGGAGGAGGAGGAGGAGGAGGAGGAGGAGGAGGAGGAGGAGGAGGAGGAGGAGGAGAGGAGGAGGAGGAGGAGGAGGGGGAAGAGGAGGAGGAGGGAGAGGAGGAGGAGGAGGAGGAGGGGGGGGAGGAGGGGGGGGGGCGCCCGGTCTAGCCCACGGTCGGCCTTTTCCCACCCAGCGGCTCAGTGTCGACAAGCGCGTTCCACTACGGGCAAGAGAACTGCTCGTGAATGGTTTGGATCACGATGCA